GAAATTTTAAAAAGTCTGGTATTGTCAAGTACAGTTACTTGAAAGGAATAACATCCTTTCCAAAAGACATTTACATAAAGATACTCAAAACCTTAGATATACAAAATCTTATCTCATTCTTTAATGGATTTATAATGATGTACTCTGAAGAAAACTTATTATCTCATTAGACTTAATATAGGTGAAAGAATATTATCTCAGGAACCACCTAAAAGTGAGATTAGAATATGAATCTAGAAGAAGATGCTTAAATGATCACGTGCTTGAAGTAAGAGGTTAACAACTGACTCAAAATCTGTAACCATTAGTGTTCAGTTACCCTCAGGGAATGTGGTATCTGGGTTAGGAGCTATTCAGTCTTTTATTTTCTTTCCCCAATACTTTCATTTACTCATGTTTCATTAATTTTGAGAGGACAGGAGTGGGACTTGATAAATATTTGAAGCCATCTAACAATGCAGTAGAAAAAATTCAGAACAGTGTAGAGTTCAGATGAAGTAGAGTCCCAACAAAGGTCACTATTAAGAGTTCCTAAGCTTATCAACCCATTATAAAACCTCATTTTCTCTCTTTATCATTCATTGATTGAGGTGACAATAGTTTATGACACTGCTTGTGATTTAGACGCATGGACTCACACCACCTCATGTGTGTCACTTAGCAAGATGAAAAAAAAAAAAAATCCCAGCAGAGGAAAGTTCAGGTTCTGGTTTGTCTAAACAAATATTTATGAATAGAACTTAAAATGAGGAGGTATTATTGAGGGAAAGAAGAGTGTAGATTTATATATATATTTTTAAAGATTTATTTGTACATACAGAACTGGGGTACAGACCAGAGGTGCAGGGGTGGTGAGAGGCTTCACCAGAGACAAGAGTGGGAAGCAGAACAGGCAGACCGATGAAGTACACTGCTGAGGGGAGCAGCTGGCAGGTCAGAAGAGGTCTGCCGCCATGTGGTCATCTCCGGGCTGGGGATCGAACTCATGCAGAAGTGGCTTTAGCTTCTTAGTGCTGTGCGTTAACCCACTGTGCCACCAGGGAGGGCCAGATTAATATTTTTAGAGCAAATATAAATGTAGTCATGAGCCTCCTGTCCTCAAATAATTTTCTTGAATTTTCTGATTTTTAGTACAATAGCAGACAAGTCCTGTACTATACTTCAAGAACACAGATATGTTAGGGAAAAATGCATTTCACAGACCAAAAGGAGAGAAACTCTTCTGTAAATGAATAATGCGAACATTCTTCCATTGCACTAGTTAACTTTTATTTTTGTTTAGATATAGCTTTTAATGACATAAATTTGCTGTGGTAGCAGTGGGAAATAACCTGGGGTAAAGTGATTTTTCTGATATTTCAGAACATGTGTATTTAGAAAACAAACCATGTGTCTATTTTGCTACAACATCCCATTTCAACTCTATGGGATATTTGATTACCATCTTAGGAACTGTTTAGAGAAGACATAGGAGAAAAGATAACTAAAGGTGACAGTGCAAATGTTAGATTCTCAGATGGATGGACTTACTTGTTCTTTGACACAGAGGCTGTAACTTTGGACAGCTGTGTAATAACTTCTGTAATGAAGTACAATTTCTTTTCATCTGAATTTTGCATAAAAGTTAATATATATAATATATGATGTATAGTGTATAATTATAACACACATGTGTGTGTATATGTGTATACATACATATATACATATACACAATATAAATATATGTATATATGTGTGTATATGTGTATACACACATATATACATATACATGTGTAAATATATATGTATATATATATATAATTTACTTCCATAAGTATTCTGGTCTGCAAAATGAGCAGATTTAGTGGCCTAACTTTACTTTTCCTCTTTCATCTTATCTAAAGACTTGATTAGCTTGTTTTTCTATTTTGAGAATACTGATAATAATGTGAGTGCTAACTTTGTGAGTTACAATTGACTGGAGTTATAAAAAAAAATGCATCCTAAATTTATAGTAAACGCTAGTGATTCTTAAAAATGAAATTTATAGCACTCCCAAATTGATAGATTTGTGATATAAAAGTTCTCCCTCTCTATTATATCACTGAAAATATTATTTGGATAATGCTAACAAAATACATAGGCATATATGAAAAATATAGACATTTGAACCAAAGGAAGAGTTTATATATCTTAGACATCTCCAAAGTATGCAATTTATTTCACTTTTAATTTGGTAGTACTAGAGTGAGAAAAATATATAACTACATTATGAAATGTCTTTATACCACTGTAAGGAAATGTTCTATTAAAGTAAATTATCTTTATTTTTGGTAATAGAATTATGTGTAGTCATTATTTTGCTAATTTCAATCTCATATAATTGTAGGCCTTTAAGTATCTCAATATTTCTGAGGGTAGAGGTATCTAAAACACTTTAATAATAAATGCAGTATTTATTTTATGAGATTTTTCTCCTATGGTTTTCAGAGTATTCCCTCTGTCAAATACCATCTTCTTTTCCCATGAACTAGATTCATTATACGAGACTTGTAGAATTTAGAGAGATTTTTACAAAGTAGGAAAATCTTTATTCATTTTTAGTATTATACTTTTTTGAGTGTTTGTTTTACAGGATGTTTTCATAAAATAACTTTCAGTTTAATAAGTCTGTCTTGCCCCTTCTCCAGTTCTGATTTTAGCAAAAATTGTGACAGCTGAGCTGCCACAGAATTGAGTGACAAGGAACAAGTTATGTTTTTAATTAATCTGCCCTTTTCATCAGGGCTTTGCTTCTGGGTCAAACTTGGTCATGTCTGGATACCTCTTTCTTGATTGAAAGTTCTTAATTAGGAAACTCTTCAGAGCTGCAAACAAGACCTGATATACATTCATACTGTATGTGGTAGAATCTTAGATTTGGCTTCCTCTCTTGCCTGTAAAATCTTGAGTTAAGTGATTCTTGCTCTGATTTCATTTTGGTTGTGGATTTTGTGTACATTGTTGAAGTAACTAATAGAATAAATGAAAAGAAGTTTGAGTAATAAAGATTTTTTTTTTAAGTTATGACAGCCATGAAAAGTGAGTAGAAAATGAGTCACTTTAGGTTTCAGATGTGATCTGTTATTTTAAGTACATAAAAACCTTTCAAAATTTTGGTCACCTCCTATGATTGGTAAATTTTTTTTGAATGATCATGGTATTTGAGAACAAGCTTACTCTTTTTAACAAGGTTACAAATGCAATTATAAAACAAATGTTAATAATTTTGAAAATTAAATGAGTTTGAACACACATGTTGAACTGCACAGAATAAATGAAAAAGTATTCTAGTTTAGTGTGTGCAGCAGAGACTGAGAGTTGGCAGTCAGTAAAATCACCACTCCTGGACTCAGTCAGGAAAAAACAGCAGAAAAAGTTCTCTAGTGTTTCCCTCTCTCCTAAATAATTTTTTTATCCCCATTTTCATCTCCATGTATCCAAATGTATTAATATATTTTCTTGGGTGTCCCCAGGTTTTTGCTATAATTCTGCCATCTTTACACACTTCTATGCTCCATCATTCTGCTCTGGACCCTGTTAAAAATAACTTTCTGAGGGCCCTCCCTGGTGGTGCAGTGGGTTAGAACACAGCACTGCAAGCTTACTGCAGCTGCTTCAGTGCAAGTTTGATGCCTGGCCCCAGAGGTGACCCACATGGCATGACAGACCTCTCCTGACCCACTGGCTGCTCCCCTCAGCAGTGTACTTCATCCTTCTGCCTGTTCTGTTCCCCAGTCTGTTTCTGGTGAATCCTTTCACCATCCCTGTGCCTCTGTATGTATGAACAAATAAATCTTTAAAAAAACGTCTTTATGTTCAAAATATATGCACTTCCTCCAGTAATGTTCATTATGTGGTGGTATGCCATGATATAGTTTGAAAGACCTCTGATAAGTGTGACTGGAGATATTATCCCATTGAATGGCTCAATGGGATTATAAGTGGACAGAATTGTTATCACAAACTGTCAAATCGCATGCAAATGGTAGTGTCCATATATATGAGAAGCAATCTAACATATTAAGAAGGCTGGTGTATTTAGAGTCCTACTTTGGCATTTTCTCTTCTATGATCTTGAACATGTTTTATTATGTCATAATACAACATGGTAATAATATCCTTGACTACTTCATTGGGTAGTCAATTGGATAAAATGAGATATTTTAGGTATGAGTTCTTAATGAACTGTTTTATGTTACAGTGAAAATAGACCATTGTAATATATGATTTGATTTCCATGTATGTAAGTCTATAGACAAATTCCACATGATGGCATAGCCACTTTATAAGATAATAAATGCCTGTGAATATTTTACACAAACAACTATTATGTGTATTTACATCATGTTTTTTTTCTTAAGATTTATTTATTTGTGCATACAGAACTGGAGTACAGAGGGGCAGGGGCAGCAGGAGGCTTCACCAGAGATAGAGTGGGGAGCAGAACAGAGAGACTGACGAAGTACACTGCTGAGAGGAGCAATGCGTGGGACAGGAGAGGTCTTCTGTGCCTTGTGGGTCACCTCTGGGGCAGGGATTGAACTCACACTGAAGTGGCTTTAGCTTCTTAGTGCTCTGCTTTAACCTGCTGCACCACCAGGGAGGGACTACAACATGGTTTTTATCATTATCTGAGAGATTTTCAGTCTCTGCCACTTCAGGCATACTTTCAGAGTGTCGGACATAAACAGGTGAGGGACCCTTCAATACCCTAAAGCCTGAACTTTATCTCCTTTACCTTAACCCCTGCTACCTTATCTCCTTCTTCCAATGAGTTTGACTTCAAGTCATTTGAATATAGATGGTTATATTTTGAATAAGTGAATAATGCTATAGTCAAAAAGAAAACACATTTCTGTAGGGTAAAACATAGTAAAACAAGGTCAGCAAAAAAGAAAGAAAAATACATACAAGCTGACAATAATTCACATTTTACCAAGATACAAATCAAACATTTCCATTGTTTTTGTTATTTGTAGATGGGGCACACTGAGAGGAGCACGAGGGCAGAAAGAAAAATTTTGGGTATGTAAATCTTTCTGCTGGAATTTATACTGTGAAGTGAATATGCTACAGTCTTGCTCTACTCCCTCCCTAGTCCCTGTTTGTATTTTTTGGTTATAATAAATCACTGTAATGTTGGTAATATTATTTGTAATACCAGTATTTTCTTCAGCATATACTTTAAAATTATATAATTATAAGAGTTTTCTCTCATTTCCTCATTTCAATTTGTAAAAAAAAAAGAGATTATTTATATTTACAAAGAATCAACAGGAAATCTTGTTCTATGATCATGTATATTAAATTTAAAGTAATGCTTAGATTTCTCTGGTATATGTCAATCAGTATCACATTTTATATTATTTTTGCTCTAGACAATTCCTTTTTAATCCAAGATATATATTTTTCTAGGCCTAGATATCTGCATTTCCACCTAAGTGTAAATATATTTACTGAGAAAATAATTATTCACTATTATATGCTAAGTAAGAACTGCGTGAATTAAGTATGTTAAACAGAGAACTTGTTTTTATCCGTTTACCTCAGCAATACATTTTTCTTTTGCGAGTTACAACCCGTACATTTTTTTTAAACTGGGAAAGAACTAATGTCTAGTCCAAAAAAATAATAATAGAAAGTTATAAAAGAGTTTGGCGAAGATTGGAGCACATTATTTCAAGTGTCCAGTCGTAAACTGTCCCATATTCTTTTGTACACACACATACACAAACATATTATCTTGTTTGTCAGAAATAGAATAAAGTCTAGGTTACATTATTCATCCTATAATTTTAGTGTGCAAGATGGGGATGTATCATAACTTATAAAACTAATTATTAGGACTTGTACTCATTAGAGTTATTCTTGGATCACTCTTTTTGTCCTGCTCAAATATGGAAATATGTTTTTCAGTAAAATGATGTTTCTCTGTATTTAAATCAAGTATTTTAATATCTTCCTCATTAAAATAAAGCTCAAAGTATAGAGCATTAATGTTAATTTTTAATAGCTAAAATTTATAATGTGTGAAAAATGATATGTTGTTTGAATTCCTGCAGGTAAGTTTCTGTGTAGTATTTCTATTACATGAATTTGAAGTGTGATTCAATTTCACAATAAAACAGAGACAAAACCAAATTCTTTGGTTACTCTAATGTAGCACTTGTAACATATATTTAAGCTATTTAAGCTACTGACAATATAAATATATAATTTCAAATAAAAACTTTCTGTCAACTTTTCACCTTCAATCTCATCATTGTACTGTAGTTCCAGTACAGCCCCATACAAATTCACACACACACACACACACAAAACACACTTAATATGCATTTACGTACATATGTGCATGAATACAACATACACACACTCTTTTACATATTCACAACTTACATGCATGCTATCCTCAAAACTACTTTTGTTGTTTGTTGTAGGTACTATTATTCTGAACTTACTACTCATTGAAAATTTAAAATTTTATGGGCAAAGGGAAAAAATTTATTCCTGTTATGTCTGTTAAATAATTTAGTATAAGGATAGTGTTACAGAGCAATGCTGATATGAAGTGGATTGCCTGATTGTGGGTCCTTAACCATGCCCTTAAAGGGACTTATAATAATACTCAACTGTGGGCACACACAAAAAGGTTAATAAAAGGTTTATTAATAAAAGAAGGGGAAATGAATATTTCAGGGAGTGAGAGATAAATTTTTAAATGCGGCCTACCAATTCCACTGACCTGAAATCCCCTTTGCACAAAAAGCCAAGCGTCAAACCAAGAGCCAAGAGGCCAGAGACCCAAAAGCCAAGAGAACCAAGAGAGCAAGAGACCCTCAAGAGACCCCCAGACCACATGTCTGGTTTTATACCAACCTGGCTGCTTTAAGTAACATGTGCATGTCCTAGCAATCCTCCCTTTGGTAATGATGGGATTTATGGTTTCCTGTGTTTTGATGGTTTTTGCCTGGAGTGGGGATGGAGTCCACAAAACCTGTATGGAGTTCCTTCAGTGAATCCTTTCTCTCTAACAATAGCAATATAGAAACCATATGAATATTTATCACATTTATTAAGTTGAATATCTGGATTGACTTTTCTCCAGTAAACTGTATAGTCATCTTGGACCAGTATCGCATTTGTCTTACTGCCTATATATCCAAAAGGTATTTAAATTTAGTAAGAATATATTCCAACTAGTTGGAATTTGAACGATATATATTTTAAATATTTATTTATTTATGCATATAGTACTGGGGTACCTGCCAGAGGTACATGAGCAGTAAAAGGATTCACCAGAGATAGAGTGGGGAGCAGAACAGGAAGATTGAAGAAACACACTGCTGAGGGGAGCAGCAGGTGAGACAGGAAATGTCTGTTGAGCCATGTGGGTCACCTCTGGGCAGGGGGATTGAACTCACAATGAAGTGGCTGTGGCTGGCTTGCAGTGCTGAGTCCTAACCCGCTGCGCCAATCAGGGAGGGCCCGAAAACGAAATTTTAAATGCTATTGTACTGTTTTTCAGAATTGTGAAAGGTCTGAGATGGTATCCTACCTGCATCAAGGCACTGGGGCAAAGGAAAGGAGTTGTTAATTGATATAAGCAGATCAACAATCATATGTCACAGCTTTGTTCACCCAAACCTCAGCCTGGCAGTGATGTGATAAACGCAATAGAATTTCTCTGTATGGGAAGAAAACAAAGGATTTTTCTCTATTTATGTTCAGGAAAAAAGACAATCTCTTTTCCTGTATATATATATATATATATATGTATATATATGTATATATATATATATATATATGTATGTATGTATGTATTCTATTAAGATAAGCTAAAAAAAATCCTAAAAATTTCCCCCCCCCTAACTTCTATGATAAATACCACATACTGTCTCTAGAAGTTAGATTTCATTACTTTTGATTTGTAAATACTGTGGGTCAGAGAGAATGTTCCTGTCTCTTGGCAACCTGGACCTTAATTTAGGACACTTTCTGGTCCTTAATTCTTTTCTCTTGGTGAGATAAGAGAAATTTTACTATCCTTTGGATCAAATCAATTAATTAGAGAAATGGCCAAAGATCTAATTCTCATTCTATGTGAAGATATTTCTGGAAGAAGTAAAAGCAAATATTCCATATATTTAGACCATTTACACTTTATGCATGTCAGGAAACTTAAGATTTTTACAAGAACCATGAGAATTTCATGGATATTTTATTTCTACACAATTATATGTGAAATCTTCTAAATAGGTCTGCAATGTAGTAAATTATAATAAAAAAAATGGGTGCCTTCCACTACCAAAATGTTGTAGAAGTAAATTAATAATTCCATAAATTAAATATCAAACTATAAATAATTAAGTTCCCCAGCTCATGTTTTTAAGAAACAAGAGTGGTTTAGGAGAAAACTGTCTGTCCTGGGAGCCTTTGACATTTTGGACATAGTAGATTTGCAATAGGACAAGAGACACCTCTAGGTAAAAGAGCATCTCAATGGAGTGGAATTTAGAGGAATCCCAAAGAGTCCATCCTGTGGTATATCTACAGAAGGCTGTAGTAGTGTTAGTAATTGAGGAGGGAAGATGGAAAGGCAGAACAAAATCTTCTGTTGCATTTGCAGAACCTGTGAAGGAATTCCATGGACAAAGGCTGAAGCAAACTCATGATAGCTGCTTTTCTTCATACATTTGAAATCAAGTATGGAATAAGTCTGACAAAATCTTCTCTAAAGCCCTGGCCCGTTTAGTTCCTTACTAAAACTGAGGTGATAAGTCCTTCACCTTATCTCTCTAGGAGAAGAAAGAGCTACCTTTCTTTGAAAAATAACCCCAGCATCAGTCTCTATAATTATTATGGCAAGATATCTGGCATCCATTTAAAAATGATGAGATACATGAAACAGAAAAATGTGAGCAATAACCAAAGGGAAAAAAATCTAATAATAGGAACAATAGATGGTACTTTATGTGAGCTTTCATCATTATAAATCACATATTTAAAATATGGATGAAAAGGTGGAGAATTTAAAGCAAGGATTTTAGTGTATTAAAAAATGAAGTCTTAACTTTGTGATGCAATGTCCAAAATTAAGAACTCATATATTGCTTCAAAGGCACACTGAATAAGTGATCTTAAAGGAAATTCATTGAAATAAATCTAAATTGTAGTATACAGAGGAAAATATGTTGGAAAACAAAGCAAAACAAAAACAAAGCTTAAAACAGTGTGTACAGACAGGTGGGACAGAAGCAAATGTGATTGTATTTTGTTTGTAATTGTATTTTCTGAATAAGACATGAATAGAAATGAAAGAGGAGAACATTGGCATAGTTTCAGTTGATATTGAGTAGGTAATAGAGGATTTTATGAAAACATCATATCAAATATGCTTGACAATATAGATGCTTCTCAAGATACTACTCTTGGGAAACAAAACTTATCTAAATTCACACAAGATGAGACCAGAAAATCAAAATAGTTATGATAGTCTTTGAAAAGTTGACTGTATTAAAAATATTCTCACAAAGAAATGCTAGGCTCAAATAATTTTCACTAGTGAATTATTCCAAATATTTAAAGAACAAATGAAACCAACTTTCCCCCACACTCTTTTAGGGGACTGAAAAATAAAAACAATCCAAGCTCATTTTATAAAACACCAATATCAACACTTGACAGGGTAATAGAAGAAAGGAAAATTACCAGTCTAGATCTCTCATGTACATAAATAAAACTCTAAGCAACATAGTATAATCAAGAAGTATATAAAATGATACTTCACATAATCATGAAGATTTATAACAGGATTACAAAATTTAAATCTTAAAATCAATCAATACTCACATTATCAGAGTAAAGAAGGGAGGGGGACCCAGATTATCTGAATTGATATAGAAAAATGCAGTAATAAAATTCTGCATCTGAATAAATTTTCCATTGTAGCTCCACAATTTGGCAACTTAAAACAGCATACCTTTATTATCTCATATTCTGTGGATTAGACGTCCAGTTTAGGCGGGTTTAGGTGGGTACTCTCTGCTCAGGTCTTACAAGGATACAATCAAAATGTTTTCTATGCTGGGTTCCTTCTAGAGCACCAGATCTTCTAAGCTCACATGGTTGTTATCCAAATTTATTTATTGTGATTGTGGAATCACGTTCCCTTTTTCTTGCTGACTGTCAACCGGGGGGCCCTCTCAGCTCCTAGAGGTGGTGTACTTCCTTGCTGCTTGCTCCCACACAGCATTCTCATAGATTCCTTCCCATGAGGTCATTAGAAAACAACATCTGACCTCTAGGTCCTCTTTAACAGGACTCCCCTGATAGGTTTTGGCAGAATAATCTCCTTTTTGATAAATTCATAGTCAGTTGATTATAGATTTGAATCACATCTTCAAAATCCCTTCAATTTTTTGTCATGTAACATAAACTATTCACATGAGATTGCATGTTCTCAGCTCCTGATCACAGCCAAGTAGAGGAAATTATACCAGACAAGAATACAAGCCCCTAGGATACTATTCAAAGCAGAGATGCTAGGAATCTTGGGAGTTATCTTAGCCTTCAATCATGCTTCTCTTTCCAGACAGAATAATGTTATCAAAATAAAAATGTTTCCACCTTGTGGTCCTGCTGGCAGCAATCAACAGCATGCTGTCATTTACACCATTATTTTCTCAGTGTGGATGTCCTACCTCCCACCTGGCCTCACAGCCTACCAACATTCAGTTTTAAGATCTAATTATAACAAATTCTTGTTTCATGTTTTGGTGCTTAAGCTTTTATTGCTTCCCTTTACCTGAATCTCTTCTCTCTCTTTTGTCCCCTGGCTGATGTTTGCTCAGGACTCATTATGCATGTCATGTGGCACTTCGCCCACAACTTCTCTGAATCACCCACAAGAAGGCCATGTCCCCACCGACTTCTGTAGCATCCTGTGCATATTTCCACCTTGATGCTTGCTTCTGTTGGTCATCTTCATTTGAACATAAGCACCCTAAACACAAGATAGTACACCATTTGTCTTTCTCCTTCCAGGGCCAGCCACTGAGTCAATCCCAAAACACCATAGCTGCAGCTTCTGTGCCATCTGACATGGCAATTTGAACCCTCATGTATAAGTTCCCATTGTACTCTGGAAGACTGAGTATTATTCCAATTCTGGCTATTGCCAGCATCTGTGTTCATGTGTATTAACCTAAAAGCTGGTTAATGTCACAGTTTTATTCTCATTTAAAAAACATTTAGTTTCTTAATTATTGTAATTTATAATAAGTCAAAGACAATGCTACCTATAAATTCTGTTTTGTTTTTTTTTTTACATGCTGGATTAAAAATTTCAAGTATGATTCTCATTTTTTTTTTTCTTTTCATTTCTACAGATTGCTGCCAACTCCTGGGGAAAGTCATGGGGAGAGAATGGCTATTTCAGGATTCTTCGAGGAGTAAATGAGTCTGACATTGAAAAGTTGATTATTGCAGCTTGGGGCCAACTGACAAGCTTAGATGAACCATAGCATATCATTAAATTTCTGCAACACCATGCATTAACTAACCCCTTAAGCTGAAATTAGGCAATGTAAAGTGCTCTGTGACAGAGGGATCTTTTTCTCTTCACCTTGCTACGATGTGTCTGTTTTCTGGTTTCATCCCAGGCTCTATGCTTCCGCTTCATATTACTGAATGTATAGAAATACAAATAGAAGGCAATCGCATAGGGAAATGCCTTTGAAGTTCCACAAATGTCTTCATCTTTCTCTCATGACAATGTCTGTTTTTACAAGCAATGTGATGGCACTTATCTTAAAAGGTCACACGTAACTTTTCTGGAAATCACTGTTTTTCTCCTTGACCAGTGAGAACTCTGGATAACAAAAGTGGAAACTCACCAAATTATCATCTGGGTGATTTTGTCCCAACAATTAATGCTTTCTTTATTCAGATGCTACTTCTGTTTTACCAAAAGCAATAATAATAGATTAATTGTTATTCTCAATAACCTGACATGTTGTTTCTTTTCATTTGTCTAGAAGTGACTCAAAATCTGAACACAAAAAGAAAGCAACTCTCCATAGGAAATGACTGCTTGTTAGGGCATTGTGTAAAGACCTGTGATGGGGAATGTTAAGCAATGGGAAAAGCTTCACGGCTAACTATAGGAGTACAGTCCTGACATTTACACACACTTCTATTTTTGGAAGCCAGTACACTTTGTGTAAAGTCTATTAAAGTCAACTGTGAAATTGTATTTGGAAAGACAACATATTTACTCCTGAAAACAGCAACATGATACTTTGAGTCAGAAAGAATAAATACACTTTTATCACAACCAATTCACAGTTCACAGCTTGAGATTCTAAAAAGTAAGCTAAATTGGCATTAATTTGCATCTAATTTTTATCTTAGTTTTCTATAGTCAGAGAAACAAAAATAGCATCATCATAATGGTTGGGAAAAGATATAATAATGCTTTAATAATTCACTGGCATCTTAAGTGATAAACCAGTGAATAAAGAAGCCAGCTGAACACTAAGTGAATGTGGTTAGATACCATTACACGAGCAGGCTTTTCATGCCCTTAATTTCAGGGCACTTCCTCATATTAATTTTCAATGTGGAACTTTGTTGTTGTTGTGTCCAAAGGTGCCCTGATTAGATAAGTCAGACATGCTGAAAATGTGAGGATTCAGAGCACACAAAGTAGAGAGTTGCTAAAATTACTTTCTCTGTTAATTAGAAGAAGCACCTGTTCACCAGCTTTCCGCTAGTTATATATGAGGGAGGACACCTTGTGGGTACTGGCCAATGTCCCCCCTCTACCAGTAGCCTCTGAGAAAGTTTTAAGTTCAAATAGTTTGTTTGGACAGAGAACAGAATGTTGAGAAGGGAGCAGGATGATGATATAAGGTGCATAAGGCAGAGGGATAGATTTTTACTTTCTGAACACCACACAGGGGACAAGCCCTTATCCCCTGGAGACTGTCCACACATTCTTCAGAAATGTACACTTCAAAAATGTATTTGTTGGTTGAGGGCTGCTCTTGGGGATGGTCAATTCTGTGCTTACTATGAGCTGGCATCAGGGTGGGGGAGTTGTTTCAAGTATCAAGAAAAATGTATATTAAAAAAGCAGGTCGTGGTAGTTTTGATGTCAGGCTAATGTCCACTGAAATGATACAGGTGGGGTGATATGGGCTGAAAAACAACAGTGTCTCTGCCAAAGATGCCAAACATGAATTTAAAATGACACTTGCATAAATGATAATGCCGTAAAGTGCCAGATGACTAACATCACTTTTAAAAATACTTGTGGGATTAGGTTGATGCAGTCTTACTGTTATACATTTATACCATTCTAATGACCTCAATAAATGAGAAAATGGATCCAAAAAATGAGAAAAAATGAAAGAAAACGGAACCCGTGGGAAGATATAAGATGTGCTTGTCAAACAACTACAGACTGTAAGTTAAAAGGGAGACAGAAAGGTTGGGCAGAAGTATAGCCATGGAAACAGGAAAATGGACCTGAACTATGTTGAGTTACTGTCTTCCTCTGAGTGATGTTGTTTCTCATTATACAACTTTAAAAGCATTCTTAGTTGTACTTGTCATCCAAAGTTCCTGCCTGAATTAACTTTCATAAAATAGTGATCATTGTAGTCTTTTGCTCACATTAGGGATGACCTGTTGATAGAATTGACTAGACCAATGATACATCGTCTCTTCCACACTGTGGCCTTTCTCAGTGTCCAGGTGTGTCCTCCTGAGACTCAGTAGGAACTGAGCAGTTAGAAGGATCAGGTATTTGGTATTAGGTCTTTAGAGTTCCTGTACATTTGTGTATATGGGGTCTTAATATTTCATGTTAAGAATATATGAGAGGGGGTTCTCGCTGGTGGTGCAGTGGGTTAAAGCACACCAAAGGAGGCTCTAAAAGCCACTTCAGCATGAGTTTGATCCCCACTCTGGAGGTGACCACATGGAGTGGCAGCCCTCTCCTGACCCGCCTGCTGCTCCCCTTAGCTGTGTACTTCATCAGTCTACCTGTTCTGTCCCTATTCTGTCTTTGGTGAATCCTCTTACCAATCCTGCACCTTAGGCCTGTACCACAGTTCTGTATGCATAAATAAATAAATAAATATTTTAAAAAGAATATATCAGAGGAGAGTCATCATAAAAATAACTCAGCCAAGGCACTATTTAGCATGATGGATCCTACCATGACCGTGAGCACTAAGGTCTGCTTTTCTTCCTGTTTACTTAGAAGTATCTGCCATTTAGTTACTTTTTGTGTGGGTTCCAGTTTAAATTGGTTACTGTGTAGAGCTTTTCTTGGAAAAATAAGGAATAGTCCCAGTATAGAACATTAAATTAAATCTTGGTCATTCTATTTAGTTGAATAATGTTTCCTTCTTCAGGCTTCATTAGGGTGTATATATAACAGAGAGGTGGGAAATACCTACATATTGAGCTGCTTCCCAATGTTTGTGTCTTAACTCATTTTGACCCAGGTTATTTAATTGTGCACTCACAAATTCTCTTAAAAATGCATAAAATTGAATTATTTTTGATAGTGGCCATTCAACTAGGGAAACTAAATATTTACAACAGAAGGAATATAGTAAAAGGAAATACTTATTTTTTATAAAGATTTATTTATTTATGCATACAGAACTGGAGTACAGGCCAGAGGTGCAGGGGCAGTGAGAAGATTCACCAGAGACAGAATGGGGAACAGAACAGGCAGATCAAGGAAGTACACCACTGAGGGGAGCAGTGGGCGGCTCAGGAGAGGTCTTCCATGCCATGTTGATCACCTCCAGGGTAGGCTGGGATAGAATTCATGCTGAAGTGGCTTTAGCTTCTTAGTGCTGTGCTTTAAACTGTTGCACCACCAGGGAGGGCCCATGTAGTTACATTTTTAATAGAGGTGTGTCAGTTAAATTGTGTCTGTGTTCTTTGCCAAAAACACTTTGCAGCATAGCTAATTGACCAAAAGGTACTTTTACCATGAAGATAACATGACTGTTTGACTGTTGGGTTTGATAGTTTGGCTTCAAGTTTGATCTGTCCATTAACAAGTCAAAACAGCAGTGAAATAGTGGGTGATAGCTATATATAAAAACTTGGTAGAAATACAGTGATAAAACTCACTCCAAGTATGAAGTAAAAGCATATATGTAAAGCCAGATTACTTACTATAGTAAGAAATAATATAGCAGTTTGCACACACTTTGGTGAGCACGTGACCCCTCCTAGCTGTGAAAACTAATATTGATCATCCTATAGTGGATATAAAAGAGGCAGCTAGTAATTCACAATCATCTTCAAAGCACTAATTATCATTTTTTAAGCTAATTTATTCTTACAACTTTTAGGTCTTTAGCACTATCTTTTGAAAATTTATCACACAGTATATGAAGTTAGAGGCAAAACTCTCCACCAAAAAAAAAAAAAATGCTTATGTGAATCCTAAATCTCTTGAAAATGGTGAATTGTTTGATCCTTGATAGTGGAGAACACGACGTTTATAGAATTTTGGTATTTAGCACAGAATACATTTTAAGGGTATGGTGAAATATAAAAACTGGTATTGTGATGGAACATTTTGTAGTGCAGATATCTACTGCCAATTACACAGGATACGTACAATTATATATAAGAAATATCAGCACCTGACATCAGCATGTGTCAAACAGCTGTAGGAGACTTTCACAGTACAATACAAAGAGCGGTTACAACTCTGCATCTTATGAAAACAACCTAAGATGATGATACAAAGATGATATGGTTTATATACAAGATAAAATACCATGCAGCCAAAAGGAAAGATGGTATTTCACCATTTGCAATAAAATGGATGAAACTTGAAAGAGTTATGCAAATCACAGTATGTCTGAAAGAGAAATTCATATTGGGTGATTTCACTTATCTAAGTAATATAAAAAAAAAAACAGCAGATGAACAGACCAAATAAAAATAAGCTAGTAAACGTTGATATATAAATTGAGGTTGTCAGAGGTTAAAGTGGTATAGGTGTGGGAGTAAGGAAGGAGAGGGTATAAAGGATGGTAGTGGATTTTTTGTTTGTTTTATTGTTTTTCTCTCATTAAAGCAATAATATTCTAAGGCATAAAGTACAGTAAGACTGTAGCGTTCTCTGTGTGATAACTTCCCCTTTTCCAGTTTGCATGCAAACAAACAAAACAAGTATGCATCCTAGTGTTTGGAAACTGATCCCTTTCTTAATGAAAGAAGAAATGTTAGCAAAACTGAAATTTAATTAATGTCTGCTTTTGTGATGCTGTCTCTTATGACAGAATTGCTTCATGCTAACTAGTTATGCAATAAACATTTCTGTAGTAAAAATACTTAGTACACTTCAGGGGCATCTACCTAGAACTTGTGGAGGGGCTGAGAAGGGAAGCAGAGGAGGAATCGGTCCAGAGATGAGAAACTCTCAGGAGCAGCCGTCATCTTTCCACGGAAGGGACAGGGTGAAGAGGTGAGTGATGAATCTGCTCTGGCTGTGTTCATGGAGTAGATGGAAATAGGAACTATGGGGAGGCTGGAGACAATAATGCCACCAAATTTGCCCCCTGAGGTGGGAAGCACTGAGGTTCTCCCTTCCTTGCACCTTTCTGATTCCACTCATTGGCTGGTTCTACCCACAAACAATGATA